AGCAATTAACGTTTGATCAAACTTTTAAAAAGTGTCTATTTTGTGTGTTCTCAAAAGTTCTTTTCAAAAAAGTATTTTTTGGAGAGAAACTACTTTTTTTCTCTTCAAAAGTATTTTTTTTCTTTCAAAAGCTGGGCCAAACACCTTAATTTTAGGAAAAATACACTTTTGCCTCAAAAAAAGCTTGGTCAAACATGCTATAAGTAGGAAAAAGATGATCAACCGTCTGCTCATCATATTTTATGTTGCGAGTTGAGAAGAGAGAACAAGGACCAAATATTGGGTTTTCTGTTTTCATTTGGAGGAAAGATAAAAATTAAAATGTGGCTCTTCTACCGCCCATTGCTTATAATTGCCGGCAGAAAGGGATCTTCTCCTGGCTGATGTCGCAATTGTGCATTTGCTGGTAATATTTGAGGTTTGGAAATAAATTGCTGGCGATTAGTTAGTTGATGCTAAATAATTGCCAGTAAAACTACTTTTTGTAGTGTGTAAAGACTATATTTAACCTGAATCTACAAAATTGTTCAGGGATCTGTAAGATGCTTCTACAACATAACTTTCTCCATCTTCAGGTAGTCACTAGAGGAACAGATCCTTTAAATGGAAGCATACAAGAGTAGGTGACATACTTCACACTATCTATCAATACAACAACAAAAATCCGAGAGATGGACTTTGGTCCCATCATGCCATCAGCATCACCTGCCTCTCTTGGATCAACTAACACAGAGACAACCATTGAAGACAGTGAATTATTTCCAGTGAAGTCATCTTTCTTTCCACTTCCTCCAACGTGTTCTTCAGAAATGTTGTGAGTTACTCCAGAAACAGAAAGACTATTAAGGATCCTTCTATTTCTCCCCTTGTTGGTGCGTGTAGTAGCATTCTGCCTCTGCTCCATAGAAACATTCCTCACAGTGGTAACAGGAACTATGCCTCCTGGAGATGAGGACACATCAAACTGGAACACTTCAGTACACATGCCTGAACTCAACATAGGCCCTGCACAAATGAGAAAGAAAATCTTTAAGTAAGCGGGCAGGGGGAGGCTGCTGCGAAACAGAGACAAAATGCCCTATTTAGATTTGATTGAGACATGGATATAGTAAGATTAGAAACATTAGGCACCAACATATAAACAGCAACCAAGAATGGATTGTAGGAGTAGAACGTAATCCATGTTGTACAAACCATGTGTATTCTGAAAGCACTATTCATTTAGAAGACAGCGACTTAAAGTCGGATTTGGCGCTGTAGATATTGGTTTAGTTAAGAAAAAAGGTACAGAGAGAAAGATCTCCAATTAAAAAAGAACCAAGGACAAATATATCAACAATATATGACAAACAAATGATGTACAATAAACATACAATTATTTAATAAAGATAGAAAAGTAGCAAATTGGAATGAGGTTTAACAGCACTTACCAGCAACGCCTTCAAGGAACCATTGCTGCACAGTTGACTTTGCTTTCTCTTTATCCCCAGAGCCAAGAGCACGTTTTCCATCAACAGGACTGCGGTAATGGTGGGGATGCCTCCCTGGGATGGCAGGGGCCAAATCTCCAGGAACCGCAAGACCCGTCTCTCCACTGCTCTTCTTATCTCCACTTCTATGAGATGCCATGGCTTTCTCACTTGCCAAAACAGAATGAATTATCAAGTTTCCATCAATCTTCACAAGTTTATCATTCCTGGGAACATACAATGAGGCCATTAGAGGCTCACTATCATTGCCCGAGCGAATAAACTCATCTGTGCCGCTATTGAAATTTGGTTGACCATCTCCTCCCTGACCTCTCCGACCGCAATTAGTGCTGTAATCCCTCCCATTATGTTTTCCTGAATAAATACTCCTGTTCTCTTGCCCATCAACAGCCAAAACTCTTCCATGATGCCTTTCATTGTGCCCACTTCCAGAAAGATCTCCACTTGCAAAAGGTTCTCTCACTCCTCCGTATCTCATATTTATCACAGGAACCAATCCACCAAACAGGAGCATGAAGAACAACAAGCCAAGGAAACTAACACTCGCAACCTTCTTGGTTTTCATCTCAGTCTTCTTAGTCTCTACTTTCTTACTACCCTTGGGTGCAGGAGCTGCTGCTTGTGGTTTCAACCTAGGAATAGGAACCAAAGGCACTTGTGATCCTTGTGGCTTCACCATATAAGGCGGAGCACAAGGCATCCAAGGATACATCACCGGGTACATCCCAGGGGGTGGTGGTGGCATCGGGGAAGGCACTGGTCCCATCTGTGACCTTAAAGTTGCATTCTCGGACATTATGTATGATATTTTAGCATTCAAATCTTGAATAGTTGAATGCATAGTCCTCACCTTATCCTCTAACTCCCCAACATAATGCTTTTTCCTTTGCCTAGAAAGCTGAGCACTTTCCCTATTCCTCATCAATCTTGCTTTCCTCTTTTCATCCCCTCCTTCACTATTCAACACATTGCTACATTCAGCCACATAATTAGATTTTTGGTATTTGCTTACATTGTTTGAATCTTCTTCACTCACTTTTTTCCTCTTCAATATGGAGCTACACTTATTATTATCTTTTGTATTCATCATTTCCTCTAATTTAATGATGTTCTGTTCTACTACTACACATTTTATGGGAGAAGAAGTTACCGATTTGCTGGGACAATTGAAAGCTTCTTCAGAGACATGGGAGCCACAATTGCCAGAACCCTGCGACTCCGGTGAAGGGAAGTTCGAATCATAGGAACCCTCATTGTTGTCATTTCCAGAATCCTCATGATTAGACCCATTAGATTCGGGGGGCGACGGCACATTCAGATATCCAGAGACATCTGAAATTTGGTTCGATGCTGCAGTCAAAACAAGGGACCCACTCGAAGTTTGACCTCCGGAGCTATGACACGCCTCGGACGTACCTCCAGCGACGGAAACATGACGTAATTCCGGAGACGACTTGAAAATCCGAGAAGAATCGTTAAAACTTGGGATCAGCTGTTGACCAAACCCATTTGGGTCAATCTGACCCGTTTCAAGAGAACTGGAGTTGTTGAGAATGGCAGCATCATCAGGAGGGAAGATGATATCTAAGTCGAATTCGAGGTCATCAAACATGAATTCGTTGTTGAATGCTTCATCACAAATGACGTTACTACTGTTATTGCTGTTTCCTTGGTCCAGAGGTGGATCCGAGGCACCGGCAAAGTTGTTCGCCGGCGGCACATATGGATCGGCCACCAATGGATTTGCCATTTCCGGGGCACAGATCCAAATAAGTATTTGGAAAGTGAGATTGCAGAGAGGAGAGGGTTTATGTTTTAGGACCTAAAGTATGGGGTTTTAAGTTTGTTACACTTACTTGACGTAAGGTGAACGGTACGTTACCCTCGCTTCTCACGCATTGATGAAGGATGTGAATTTCACGCTCTTGGTTATTTTTTGAGATAATATAATATGTCAAACTTTCTCCTCCAAATTTGTTAGATACAATATAACAAAACATCAAACGTAAGACAATTATGAACTATACCGGTACGAACCAAAAATTTAAAAAGAACTTTTGTTCTCATCTCCAATGTTTGATTAGTTTGCACGGAGATTTCAAACAAACTATGAAATTACAAGAGGGAGTAAATTGTTATCTTTTTTTTTTATGACTAGGTAGTTGACTGGTTTGACAATTAGTCATACTAAGATTAGATACGAGGTAAATAGTAAATACAGAAAGTAAAAAAGATAAAGTAAATGACATCGGACATTTTTATATTGGTTCAGATTCAATGTGAATCCTAGTTCAGTCCTCTTGGGTTGCAAGAGTGTTCTCTCTTCAAGTTCCTTGAATTTTTTCGATACAAGCGAGTTGATGTTGTCAAACATATACCAACTGCTTCTCAAAACACAATTGACTTTCTACGATTTTGATACAATGTATCACCGGTGATCTTTCTCTTTTTCTTCTCTTCACTAATTACATAGTAAATCTAGAGTAGACTACATTGTTTGTTTGGAGTAGAACAAAAAGCTTGATGTTGGTTCGATCAAAGTATACTAGAGCAAATCTTCGAGAGATGGGTAACCTAAAGGAATTGATCCTTTGAGTGAATCTTAATTAATTCGTTTCAAGAATAAGGTTGGAACTTTTCTATTGTTGATCCTTGAAGTTCGATGTGATAGGCATGATTACCTTGAATGGTGTAACTAATTAGCTTTGCATATCTTCCATACAACGTGTTTGATGTGATTGTCATTGACGTCCGTGATTGGAGATCAAGATTAGATTGTGATATTCCTTGATGCTCGTGATTAAAAATCAGGAGTAGATTTTTCGCTGAATTGATTCTGCTATCTTAGCCTTCCTTTCTTATATAGCTTCTCATATCCTTAATTGGCTCATATTTCCTTTCTTGATTATCCGGCTTTGAAACGTCTACTTTTTAAAGATCCTTGATTGCATGCAATAAGAATAAGTTATTTTTCATCATTAAAACCGAGATCTAACAATACTCACTTTTTTATGATGACAGAAAAAATAACTTAATTAATTCTAATTTCATCTTTATTCGATCATTCTTGTAGTCTGACTCCCTCTCAACTTGTTATCTCTTCCTGCATAGAGACTTTGCATGTGATGTAGTGTGATGTAGGGGTGGGCATAATACCGGCCGAATCGAAAAAATCGGCTGAACCGTAAATTTTAGTTTTTAGGTTTCGGTTTAATCGGTTTTTCGGTCGGTGCACGGTTTTTAAATTATTAATTTTCGGTTTTTCGGTGCGGTTTACGATTTTGGTATTTCGGTTTTCGGTTAAACCAAAAAATCGTATTTTTGGGTATTAGTTAAGAAAAATAAGTTTGAACATGTGAGTTCTTTTGAGAGTCCAAAACTTATTACCCATTTTAGGCTGAAGCCCAATAATCCAATACTCATTTGAACTTTGAAGCCCAATTTACCCAAACTTACTGTACTGATAGTCTGATTATACGTTACACACTTACACTTAGACCTTAGTCACTTACTTCCCATTTCCCAAAACCTAAATCAAAAATTAGATTTAGGGTTCTTCCTTAGCTCTGTCTCTGTTGCGACTGCTGCGAGCCTGCGATTGCTGCCTTCTTACTCAGCTCTGTGCGATTGCTGCCTTCTTCCTCAGCTCGGTTGTGATGCCTTCTTCCTCAAGTTAGTGCGACTTCTTCTGAGTTCTAAGTTGAGTTAGGTCCAGTGTCGTTTTGCAGTTTTGCTCACTGTTATTGTCATTTTGGCCGAACTTTCTGATAGAATTTTTGCTGAAAAAGGTGTTCAAGATTTCTTTGGTTGATTTTTTATTAAGATAAGGCTTCTTTATTTGTGTTTTAGTTCTTTTTTTCCTTGGAATAATTTTGAACAATTCTTTTCCCTTTTATTGTTGCAAAAAAATGTGATTGAGAAAACTCTAGTATATGAAAGCTCAAAGTCAAGTTTAAGTTTATGAAGAAAGAAAATGTCTTAGTCTATGGCGTCGTGGTAATTTTGTTAATCATATCACGTTAACTCCATTTTCCCGATTTAGATGAGAATGTTCCTGTTATATCTGGATTTGAGGTTTTTTCTTAGGGTGGTGTTTGTCTCCACTAATAAAAAATCAATCTTTTTTTAGAAAACTATATTCAATCAACAAGCAACAACATCTCTAAAGTTAAGGACATTTCAATTAGTACTTCCTCTTTTGCTGTTGTGTTCTGTTTGCACTGAAGGCCTCCCTGTTCTCTATGTGCTTGTTCTCTATTCTTGGTTTCATTTATAGTGTAGTTTCAAATATCCTCTTTAGTGATCACCAAAATGTTACACTAGTTTCTTTTGATGACTTTGCAGTTTGCAGCATTTCCATGCTTGTTTATTGCATGATAACTGAGAATATATCCTCAAATACTCGGGCACCTTCTTGTAACGGTGGCATGAATCCTTGAACGTAAAAGATAAGAATGGGATGATGTCTTCTCAAGTGTATCCCAACTACGACGAAGAAATGTGTAAATTTTTTGTGAGGGATATAGGAGGCTCTAACTTGCACTAACTAGTTCACACGCATTCTCCATATGTCTATCGTGTGTCAAATCTCATCTGAATTGGCCTTACTTCTTGGGTTTTAGTGCAGAGACTGCATAGTTCATAGCTTTTTATTTGCCAAAGGAGTAGGCAAAAGTTGCTCACCTAAATTATGTTCAAGATGTAGTATGGTATGTTCTTGGTCTCTCGGTTGCTTAGTTAAACTCTTATTTATTTTGAAATTAGTTTCAAGACCTGCTTTATGAACTATTAGCCTGTAGATTTTGAGCATTTAGCTAGGACTAGGATATATATTTGAGAAAATTGTAAGGAGAGTACGAAAATACTGGCTATCAAGTACGAGAGAGGGCTAAATGCTTGTGAAGTTGCACCATATTACAAAGTGTGGTGAGTTAAAAGAATTACAAATGACATTATATGCATAGATGATCGGATTACTCACCGAGGTTGGGTTATTTTTATCTTTTAAATAAAATTTTCATTGTGTACCTTTGATTGAGTGCGCTTCATTTAATTCAATTTCTGTTACCGCAATTAATCCTCAGCTAGGAGTAATTGATGTGTACTTTTGGTCCTGTGTTGGAGAAAAATGATGATTTTTTATCATTCATTAAACAACGTCATTATCATTAGAGTGATATTGTCAGCAAATAAACAATGGCATGAGAACTGACAATATCACTATGCCGTTGTCTTTCTCTGTTGCCTCCTTTAAGAGAACTCTATCTCAAAATGACAATTTGCTGGGCTGGACGAACAACAAATAAATTTCAGCCTTGTTTATTGCATAAGAACTGAGAATATCGTCTCTGTTATGTGCAATGGCTGTTGGACCAATATCTTCTTTTCTATTCATTCATTATGACAATCTATTTCCTTTTTCCAGAGAAGCATAAATTTTTTTGAACCGTTTAAAATCGAAAAAATAAACCGAAAATAATTAAACCGAACTTTGAAAAAATCGCACCAAATCGTAAATACTTTGGTTTGATTTGGTTATTAATATTACAAAATCAAAAACCGATAAACCAAACTGTACTTTCATAATAACCGACCAAACCGACCGACGCCCACCCCTAGTGTGATGTAGTCGACTTGAGCTTTATATAGTCGATCATCATCCTTGCATATGTTAGTAGTAATCCTTGATATAGTTCCTGCATATGTTAGTAGTAATCCTTTCTCCTCATTTGGCATCAACCAAAAGAGGAAAAATACGTAATAACATTAGCAGTTTAGATTATCCTGATAATTATAGTCATCCAAAACACAAAAAATAAGCATCCAACCATAAAACATCCAAAAAAAAAAACTAAGATTGTCCAAAACACCCAACAACCAGATCAGTGATGGAGAAAGTAGGTAAAAGTGTTGCAAATGGTTTCCTTGAAACGGTCAAAGCTTGTGTTCGTAGTGACTGAGATCTTATCAACGCGATCATGGACTTCCTTGAATGTTTTTACTGCCTTTTCTGCAGTCTTTTGTAACGTGACTCGCATTTTTGACATATCTGAGCCTGTCTCTTTTTAGATATCATGGATATCTCCAACTGTGGATTGAGTGGCCAGGAAGAGGTCCTTGATGACATTCACCATCTCGTCAATTGCAACAATCTTCTTGTCACGACCCAAAACCCATTATAGATCATGATGGCGCCCAACGTCGTTATTAGGCAAGCAAACAGTGAACTACCAACTTAATTATTCATTTTATTATTTTTGAAATCATGAATCCATTAAATAATAGAGTAAAATCTGGAACTCATAGAAACATGTGCTATTCTTTACAAATTTTTGAATATAAATAAATCATAAAGTGGAATGATAATAATAACGTGGACTACGATAGTGAACATCCATCGGGAACCCCCAAAATCAGTTGTCACAAGTGCATGAGCATATACTAGGAAGTACAATAATAATATAACCCCTGTCTGGAATACAAGATAGATAAGATAATGTAAATAATCATGATGGAGACTCCATATGTTGCGGATCGTAATATGTGATGCATCTCACCGTGAAGTCCCTGCAATAACTGCGCCCTTGCGCCCAAAAGACCACCAGAAATATATATACTTGCACAATAAGTGCAGAAGTATACCATGAGTGTGTAAATCAACGCTACCCAGTAAGTATCTAGCATAACCCTGGAAAAGTAGTGACGAGGGGTCAACATCGACACTTACTAGTGGTCTAATAAATCAAGTACAATAGAAAGTAAACAAGTATGAGGCATGGTAAATAAACAATGTAAACAAATATAGGTACGTGGTACGATCCTTCTCTGAACAGTAAACACAAGTTCTTAATTATCGGTTACCTCCTCAATCGGAGTATATATATAAAATAGTCCCCACCAGATAAGTCATCAGTCATCACAATTCAAATCAGGAAACTCACAGATACACTGGCTTCTTGTTAAATATTACACATGATTCTGCCGAGGAGAATGGCCCGATCCCATAAGAGTGTTTCATAAAGTTACTGAAGCGAATGACCTGATCCCATAGGAGTGTTTTATAGATATACCGGGGCAAACGACCCGATCCCATAAGAATATGATACTGCCGAGGCGAACGATCCGATTCCATAAGAATATGATATTGCCAAGGCGAATGGTCCGATCCCATAAGAATATGATATTGCCAAGGCGAATGGTCCGATCCCATAAGAATATGATACTATCGAGGCAAACGGCCCGATCCCATAAGAGTGTTCGAGGCGAACGACCCAATCCCATAAGAGTGTGGTACATAATCTTGCCGAGGTGAACGGCCCGATCCTATTAGATTAAGAAGTTTTAACGGGTCCTTGACCCTACTCACGAATATACCTGCGAGTTATGAAATTTAAAGAAACTTTTCGATGAATACGCACTACGCGGGAGAAATTCGTTAGGGAAGCATAATTTTCCGCGGATAATCAAGTAGCTCGTCGAATATCTAAAAAAAAGTGAGTACGATACTCTACGCGAGTCTAGTCTAATGATGAATGTAAATTAAGGTATTTAAACAGGCAAGAAGGACTCAAATAATACAATTTAAATATGGTGTGGGTCTAAGTCTACCCGGACATAATCAGAAATCCTAACATGCGCACGGATACTCGTCACCTCATATGTGCGTAGCTCCCATAACATGTAGCACATAAGAATATAACACCTAAGGGGTAAATCTCCCCTCCCCCCCAAGGCTAGACAAGAGACTTACCTCGCTCTGAAGTTCCATAATCGGATCCAACGGCTCTCTAACACCTCAAAACGATGCCCATCAATCCAAAACTAGTCAAACAATCAGGAAAACCAATAAAAATATACTCCAACATCATAATTAATTAATTTATAACAATTTCCAACTTCTCTCGAAAAGTCAACAAAGTCAACCCTTGGGCCCACGTGCCCGGATTTAGAAACTTTTCAAAGATAAACGTCATCCATAATATTACGAACTCAAATAAGTAATTCACTCCTAATTCCATTTCCAAAATCGCGGTCAAAGTCCAAATATACCAATTTATAGGTTTCCTCTTAAAATCCCAAAATTTCCATAATTTTTCATGTTGAATCCTTATGAAATTCATGAAATTAACTTGCAATAAGTAGGAATCACTTACCTCGTGATGCTTGATGAATAACTCCTCAAAATATCTCCCTAAATGCAACTATCCAAGTGAAAAATGAGAGAAATGAGAGCTAAGTCTGGATTTAAAAGCACCCCACTGCCCAACGACTATTGTACTTGCGGCATCTTAGTTGCACCTGCGGAAAAATCTATTGCAAGTGCGGTTCCCTCTAAGCCCAGGCAAATCCGCTTATGCGGACCAAAATAGCACATCTGTGCTTCCGTTTCTACGGACAACAAGTGTTTCTGCGTTCACGCACTTGCGTGACCAAGTCTGCTTCTGCGGCCCCAGACCTTCTTGGCTAATTCCGCTTCTGCGATCTCTTCTCCGCATATGTGACCTCGCAAGTGCGGAACATTCCTCGCACTTGTGCTCCCATGTCTCATCCATGAATTTCGCACCTGCGATGACCCCCTCTGCACCTGCGGCCACTCCTTCCGCATGTGTGATGACACCAGTCTTTAGCAACAACAACATTTCCTCAAATTCAAATCTCAATATGTTTTTAATCAGTTTCAAACCCGAGGCACCTGGGACCCCATCCAAACGTATCAACACATCCCAAAATATGATACAGACTTAGTCGATGCCTTAAATCACGCCAAATAACATCAAAACTATGAATCAACAGTCAAAACCTTTCTTTAAACTCTCAAACATTCCAACTTCGACGAACGCGTCCGATTCATACTTAAACATTTTGGAATGATACCAAACTTTACGCACAAGTTGCAAATCACAATACAAACCTATTCCAAGACTCGGAACCCCAAACGGACATCGATAACACCAAAATTCACTTCAAATCAAACTTAAGAAATTCTTAAACTTTCAAAATGCCACCTTTCCATAATAAGCACTGAAATGCTCCCGAACCACCCGATACTAAATCCGAACATACACCCAAGTCCGAAATCATCATACGAACCTATTGGAATGCTCAAATCCCAATTCCGAGGTCGTTTACTGAAAATCCAAACCTTGGTCATCTCTTCCAACTTAAAGCTTCCGAATTGAGAATTTTCCTTCTGAAACAACTCCGAACATGTATAAGTCATAATACATGAAGTGAAGCTACTCAAGGCCTCAAACCGCCGAACGATACGCTAGATCTCAAAACGACTGGTCGGGTCGTTACATTCTCCCCCACTTAAACATACGATTTTCCCCGAACGTGCTAAGAACTGATCCAGAGTTGCCCCAAAATCACTGTTTAAAGCCTTGTGCACTTACTCGTGCGACCACAACCCAGGTGAATACATTAGCTCAAGCCAGACTGAAGATCCTCCCTGCTACCTTAGCCCACAAGCCATAAAACTAAATTCCAACATCCGGAGTTATCTGCCTGGCCTGATTCCAACATACGAACCCTGACACAATCTCCACCCACTATACCAAATATAATTATGCACCCACACTGAGATCACACAATGTACCACATAATTCGTATGTTCATAATAACATCCTGGCTATAATAGCAGGAAATTTACGAATCAGATGCATGTAGTATACCTCGTAACACATATAAGATCGGTTCCAACTCTCGCAATACTGCCACGACTAAAGAGATGCACATGAACTCATAACCACCCGTCAACTCAATAACTCACGGAGTTTCTCCGTTCGGCAAGAACCTTTTCCTCATTTTGGACTGATCGTTGACATTTTCTCTATAATATACCTTACATAAATCCGATCGCACCGATTTCAGGTCCAATAATCTCGTCTCACCAGTACAAGCTGCTCAGGCGATAAGCCACCTCAAACACTGACTAATATTTCATATGACACCATCAATGCACCAACAAGCTACAACTCGAATATGACACCTAAGGAAGAACGAACTCTGAAAAAGAACTATCCAGCC